TTGTTTTTGTTTATAAAAAAAGTTTAAAGATGGTTGGTTTGTGGTTAAGCTAGCATCTCATCCATACTATACAAAATCAAAGAGATGACCCGCAAAGGCGGAATAGATCAGATAATGAGGAAGTCCAAAATCATATAGTTTCATAAGAATCAGTATCAGTAGAAGAAGTAAGGATGCTGAGACAACAAATTGTTGAAATGTACGTAGCTTGGATGAATAGGCAAGCTCCTCCATCTTCAATTCGTAAATATCTTAATACGAATATGTCATCTCCTGTCCAAGTCTCGGCAAGTGATTCAGTTTATCCACCAGGATTTGGTCCATATGTTAACACATCTAATACTGTTGGAACTTCCACAATGGGCGTATTCATTAGGCGTATCGTGAAGTTCCAACAGCATTAGATGTGTTCACATATGGACCAAATCTAGGTGGATAAATTGGATCACTTGTCGTTGTCGAGACTTGGATAAGGGATGACATATTCGTATGCAGATATTCACGAATTGAAGATGGAGGACCTTGTCCATTTCAGTCATTTGTTGTCTTAACATCCTTACTTCTTCTACTGATATTGATTCTTGTGAAACCATCTAATTTTGGACTTTCTCATTGTCCGACTCTATTCCATCTTTGTGGGTCATTTTCTCTTTTGACTTTGTATAGTATGGTTGAGATGCCTGCTTAACCACAAATCAACCATCTTTAAACTTTTTTTATAAACAAAATGTGTTAGAATTTAGCTTTTTTTTAATATTAATCACACATTACATGTCATGCACCTAAATTATTTTCATTTCTTCTGAAAGTGTTTCGGATCTCAATCGCCTCCAAGACTTCAATAAATTTTAGCCAATACTTTTGGTAGATGCGGAACACGTGCTTGTTGGCCTGATCTGTCATTATTTTGATGTAGATAACCACCATAAACTTCATTGAGTGTATCCTTGAGTTGAAGTACTCGATATTTGGCCTCATTCATATTTTAGTGACAGTTTTGTAACTAATGTCGAGTAGTATTAACTGGATGTGTCAAATTCTCTTCTTGTTCCTGGAGCTCTTCAACTTGAATATGAAGTGCATCTCGCTCAACTATCCGTTGATTTCTTTCAATCTCACACTTTGCTTGATAAGCAGTGCAATGCTTTGCTCTTTCCTGTTTCATAAAAGCCTTTACTTGATTCTGAAGTTTAGACTGTGCGCATATGAGTTGGGCCTTTTCTTTTTTAAACTTTTCCTGTTGTTGCTCCATAGTGTTTGTCATAATACCCAAGTCCTCTTGCAAGGTCAGAATGGTAGAACGATGTTCCTTCTCAACCCTTTATTGAACCAACCTAACTCTAGCTTCCAATGTTGGGCCAACTCTTCTTTAGATCATTAGTTAAGACATTGAGAGTAGATCCTATTTTCTTCAACCTCGAGTAGAGCTTTCGCTTCTCGATCTATGGGCCCCTTCACCGATCTTTCTGACATAACCTTAGGGAGGGTTGATCGTAAAACCATCCTAAGTATGAGTGGCCCACCTCACCCTTGTCGCGATCCTCCACCCTGTCTTAGGGACTTGAGAATATTCATTCTCCCCAAATCTTAAATATTTTTTATATCCATAGAAAAGATCTTGGGATGAATTCCTGCATATCTTCATTAGGAGGTAGGTAAAAATTGGCGTCAATCAAATTGCCGCATGACTCTGAGTGGCATGCAGTAAGGCTGGACATCTTGAAGACCCATTAGGACGATAGACATGTATGTCACCTCGTCTATTGGGAACCAATGATAATTCATTTTGTCAGAGCATTGAGGTATTTCTTCCAAGCTTCAAATCCCTTTGAAAAAATTTGATCTTTAATTCTTTCCTTGTAGCCCCAATGTAATCATTTCATTCTATTTTGAAGTTCACTACTTAAGGGTAATAACAAATGTGCTTAATCATCCACATTTGCAGTAAAAATATTGCATCCCTCAAAATAATCTTCTCCATTCTTGCACCTTGTTAGAGTGCGGTAAATATCTGCTAGAACCTAGGTACAAGGGTGATGTTAGGCTTCTTGTCAGAAGCTGTAATGACTGCAGTTAAATTTATGTTGATATTTCTTCCCTTTTTTAGAAATACCATGATCCCCAAAAAGCTACTATAAAGGCATCATAATTATGTGTTTCCCAGGTCAGGCGGCACCTAGCATTATGAAGTTTCGTTCCATATAAATCGAACCCATCTTTTCGGCCATATCTTTTGTATAAAAACTCTAAATGAACTCATTTATTATCAAGGCAACCACCTATTTCGTTTTCATTGATGTACAACAACTCCAAAAATCTTCTACCATTAACATGTTTTGGTATCATGGGCTCTTCTTCGTGAAGATTTTTACCCCTTCCCATGAATGCGCCTATTTCTTCCAGATTGGGGGTAAGTTGAAAGTCTAAAAAATGGAATACATTATTTAATAGATCCCAAAAATGAACTAGTGTTTCTATCAAATCCCTTAGTGGCTCAACATACAAGAGGCATCGTAAGAATCTCAAGCGTTTGAACACCACTCCTTTTCTATAATTCGTCACACTTTCATACCTTGTCGGGGCCTAATCCAATATTATGAACCAAGGTGATTGATCATTCCTTGGTCTCTTGTCTCCCTTTCCATATGAGCTCATATTTCCCTATAGGATGATGATGACATTAGGACTTAACTATGTTTTAATGAAACATTTTTTTTGAAATAATAATTAAATAAAAAGTCTTAGACTCGAGACAAGATTTTAATGACGCTTGAACTAGAACGAATAGGGACAATCAAATTATTTGAACAAGAGTAAGGATTTGATAGCTTGAACTTATTTTATTAAAAAAAATGGACTTTTATAGTACTCACAAAGATAGAAAAGGGATATAAAGACATGACGAAATCAAGAATGACACATCTTTATAGAATAGTTCAAGTTATTTTGGAAAAATGATTGGATGCTAGGAGGAAAACACATTTTGTTTTAGAACAAGTCATCAAATCTTTTATTCTTGTTATTTATTTAATTATAAAAAATTCTTTTATTGGATAATCTGAGTAGAATTGAAAAATAATATATATATATATATATAAAAAATATATATATATAT